TTTGTACACCGCATTATTGGACACCGCATTTTTGTACACCGCATTATTGGACACAAGCATTGCAAGATTGGACACTGCATTGGGATTGTCCTGATTGCACACATAACCGATCGGACACGGCAATATTTCCCGATCGGACACAGGCCCGATCGGACACGGACTCGATCGGACACAGGCCCGATCGGACATATTTTGTATCGGGTTTGCGTATTTCTGTAAAGCACAATATTCTTGTGGGTGTATGGACTTACAAATGATGGAAAATTATCTGCTTTACAGAACAGTTAACCCGGGTTAAATAAATATAAATATCCCGACCCATCTAGAGTCACAGTTTGCCTTAAATTTCATGTTATAAATACTTGAAAACCCATTAGAGTGTCCGATCGAGTCCGTGTCCGATCGGGAAATATTGCCGTGTCCGATCGGTTATGTGCGCAATCGGGACAACCCCAATGCAGTGTCCAATCTTGCAATGCTTGTGTTCAATAATGCGGTGTACAAAAATGTGGTGTCCAATAATGCGGTGTCCAATAATGCGGTGTCCAATAATGCGGTGTCCGAAAATGCAGTGTCCAAACTTGCAATGCTTGTGTCCAATAATGCGGTGTACAAAAATGCGGTGTCCAAAAATGCAGTGTTCAATAATGCGATGTCCAATAATGCGGTGTCCAATAATGCTTGTGACCGATAATGCGGTGTCCAATAATGCTTGTGTCCAATAATGCGGTGTCCAATGATTTCGGTGTCCAATAATGTGTGTCCAATAGTGCGTGTCCAATCGAGCGGTGTCCAATCGTTACATGTCCAAACGGGATACGCCCGGCGAAATGGTAGAGAGAATGGCACCCGTTTGGCCACGTTAATATTGACCACAGTCTCGATTGACCACGTTAATATCGACCACGTTGTGTATGACCACGTTGCAATTGACCACGGTCCCGATTGACCACTGTCCCGTTTGACCACGTGGTCAATCGGGACCGTGGGCAATTGCAACGTGGTCAATCGGGACCGTGGTCAATTGCAACGTGGTCAATATTAACGTGGCCAAACGGGACGCTCCCGGTAGAGAACTTTTCGACTCACAATGCGCTCTATCCGTAAATAAAAAGTGAGGCGGGTATTACATAACACCCTGTATATACAATATACATATGCATAGCTTTAGAAACTCATAAACATTGATAAACAATGATTTTACAAAGATTTATAAGATGGGGCAATATTAGATGCCACTTAAAAAATCCCGATTTTGCTGTTTTTGTTTCTGTTTAATCTTATTTCGTTTCAACGATTCAAAATCTTTAGATTTTAACCATTCTAATATATCCTAATTGAGAACGATTGGAGGGATGTCTTTGAAAATTTATGCATTGCATATAATGTTTATTTCACTGAAATAAATCTCTTATTTAAATACGGCGAAATAAAGTTGTATTTCTAGTAAATAAACCATTTACGTTATTTTGAAATAAGTATTACTTATTACAAAAAATTATTTCCTTGAAATGAGTTATTTAATTGCAAATAACAAGTTTCTTTAAATTTTTATAAATTATATATTTCTAAGAAACAAATTTAATATACCTAAATAATTATAACTTCTTCTCACAATTTTGTTTTATTCCAATTAATAGCAATGAGACTAATATACACTCAAACCATAAATATTCTCGATCATGAATATTTATTATTCTTATTGTCAGTCAATAACACAGAAAAGCAAAAATTTATCTGTATATTAAAAGGCACGAGTCATTTTGGTCTGATGAGTAAGATATTCTATTGCAAACTTATTATATTCTCACTCCATCGTTCTAAATGTATTGTATCTAAAACTTTCTGAACACTATGCTCTATTTTTATAATAGATTTAAACACACTTAACATATAACACTGCACACTACATACTTAATATGACAAATCAGATGTAGAAGGACAACGAATCGTTGCGGCGTCCTTTATCACTTGATTGCCATATTGTATGATGCAACGTGAATCAACTAGAAGTAAATTTTGATTCAATGAAATGGCCATTTGTTTCTAAGACGTAAATTTAATCTCTGGAAATATAAATTTCATATATCTATAAAGATTAATCTTATTGTAACTAAATATAATATTCTAACGTGTTGTGAAGGCTCCCAAAAAGATATGTAGAAAGGAGAGAGTCCCAATGTGAGCCACAAAATGAACGGAACTCTGTTCTCACAATACAGAAAGAGAATTTTTCTTTAATATAATAACTTTCGTTTCTGTATTGTGTATTCGTTTCGACCCTTCGGGTCTTCCTCAGTAAGACTACAATGAAATAATCGAAAGTACAAGATGAGAATACAGTAGAACTTATGTATAGATTGGTGCAACAATAATCAGTTACCTCGTTTAGAACGAATAGAGTTTATCTTGGGAGGTCAGAGCACCATGTGACTTTAGAATCATTCCTCTATATGCATTAATATCAGTAGATCTCTAAATGGTCCCAAACATGAAGAGGACTCAATAACTCACATCGACAGAGGGATGAATCCGTAACAACGGTGTTAAAACGACTGTGACACAGCAGTATTGATTTAGTATTGAATAAGGAGAAACTTAATAATAATGAAGTGTGGTAAGCATAACAGGGTAAAAAATTAGTCATGTGTCTCAACATTACCGAACAATAAAAAAGACGCAAAATTCAATATATGTATGTCCAAGTAAATCAGTTTCTTGTCCTAATAAAATTAAGTCAAACGAAATTAAATACAAAAGTACTGCAATTAAGTAAGCAAAATAAAATAAAATTTAAAAACTGTAAAAGTAATCAAATAAATAGCAAGGAACCAGCCACGCGATGAAAGCCGAATCTACAGGTGTAATACAAGAAACATAATTAGCACATGGAACAAATTACAATCTTGTAAAGTCCTAGATGATTAAAACGATTTAATTGGTATGAAAAATAAGGTGGACACCCAGGGGTGTATTGGGAGTCACATCTATACGAAACAACACAGTGAACAAGTGTTTAATTTATGTCAGAATTGAAACAATGTCGAGAAATGAAAATTAGAAAATAAAGAAATTGGTCAAAATCTTAAGAATGTAAAATTAAAACGATAAAATAGTTATAAAATGATAGCTATTTAGTCAAAAATTAAAACGGGAATAAAATCGGTACTGAGGTATATCTAGTTGGGAAAGTAAGTAAAAACTTTTAAATAAATAAAAATAAATCAATAAATAAATAGAACTGTGATTAAAATTAAACTCTGCTTAGGTCCTGGATGATTAAATTATATAAATCACCCAGGAGATCTGTGTCATTTTGCAAGTTGAGGTGTTTAGTTTGGCGCTTTATAAAAATCATTTCGGAGATGAGACGCCTATAAAGGAAGGTTCTTCATCCAAGATATCAACATTTTCCCAGTCAAATTCGTGGCCCGAGCGTCTGTGTTCAGTAATGACAGATAATTGTTTTGTTCAGTAATGTGTTCAGTAATGACAGATAGGTGTTTCTGTTAATGTGTCTGCGGTGTTCGTTAATTCTCGTTACCAAGAGTCTAATCTGGCCCACGTAAGAGGCGTTGCAGTCTTTACAAGAAATTTTGTAGACTACATTATTGTGTGAAAACGTTGGGAGTGGATCTTTATGTACTTTAATAAAGTCTCTAAGTTTGTGGAGACCCGTATATGATAGAGTCATGTTGAGGTCTTGGACAACGTGTGTAAACCTTTCAGACACATTAGAGATATACGGGATGTTAAAGAATCTGCCATTACCATTGTTAGTTGTATTTGCGCTTGTTCCTGTCATGGAACCAGATTTTTGGTTCCTCAAAATTGTGTTTACCCTTTCTCTAATCGCTTGAAAAATGAGAGGGAGAGGATATCCATTCTCTAGTAAGATATCTATTACGAATTTGAGGTTTTTTAAATTGATATCTTGGATGAGATAAGAGTATCGCTCGGTCGGTTAAGCATTTGATGGTGCCCATTTTGTGGCATAGAGGTTGAGACGACGAAAAGTTGAGGTACCTATCCGTAAATGTCGGTTTATGATACTAGTCGAACTCTATAAGGTCGTCTTTGACAATAATTGTGGTGTCAAGGAAGTTCAGGTGTTTCATTGTAGTCTTACTGAGGAAGACCCCCGAAGAAGGGTCGAAACGTTTATTATATTAAAGGGAAATTCTGTTTCTGTATTGTGAGAACCAAGTTCCGTTCATTTTGTGGCTCACATTGGCACCAAATATAATATTGCTATAAAAAAACATAAAATTTGCCACAAGTAAATTAATTTTCTCAGCAGGAATTAAATGAAATTTTTTAAACAAATAATTAGAAAAATTAAATATATTTTATAGAAATGTATATTCTGTTATAATAGCCCAATTTCTTTATAACCAATAAGTATCGAAGAAAATATCACAAGTAGCATTTGTCTCTGAATATTTCAACTTTTTTCTCTCAGTGTAGCGATAATAGTAATTTAAAACCGTTTAAAAAGAAAAAAAGTGCTTTGGGGTTTAAAATTGACAGCGACAATGAATAAAACAATTTAAATTTGTCTTTCTGAACGTTTATTATTATTATTATTTTGTGAAATAAATATTTTTGCAACATATATGGACTTTTCTCTTACATATTTTGCCATGCTCGCAACTTTATTTATGCAATTCTTAACCGTGTGAAAAGTAACTACATGACACGAATGCTCCGTGTAAATCGAGGGACAACTGAAGTTTGTTTATCCCTTCATATGTATACAGGGTGTTCGTGATAATAGATGTAACACTGTGGGTAGATAGAGCGACTTACCTCAACATATGAATATATGATACATACACGTATAATTTTCTTAAAAATATAGATTTAAGGAAATTCGTACAAATTTTGGAAATTCAAATTACACGGACATGTTTACATATTTGGTTTCTTGGATTTACTTGGAGCTTTCCTATAAGTGCTATTTATATATATAATTTTATGTAATAATATTGGCTGTGCAGGAGAAGGATAAACCGAACAGTACGACAATGAATGGTTCACCAAGCAGCGCTGCAATAGGCGAGCAAATGGGTGTCAAAATTGAGCCAGCAGAACCTGAGTCATTGTCTATGTGTGGAAATAGCAACATTCTCGCCCCTATCAATTCTTACACCTGTGTTAAGCCGATTAGTCCTGAGCAAGAAGAATTGATAAATAGGCTCGTATCTTTTCAATGTGAATTTGAACAACCGAGCGAAGAGGATCTAAAAAGGATTACAGTATGTTTATGTATCGTACTTGATTTTAGTTATGTCACAAATTTATATTTTGAATTATAGCTATTCGTTTCTCTAAATGAATTTGTAGAAGCAAAAAGTACCAACACAGACTCAGCTCCTGATCAACTAAGGGTTTGCATTGTATATTTTTTTATCATGTAAATACAAAAATTAAAGAAATTCGAATCAATTTTTTTTATCTTAGTAAATCTAAGTTTTATCTTTGATTTGATAATAAGCCTTTGAAATAAAAAACTGGAAAGGAGTAATTTCCGATCACACAAATCGTGTCTGGTAGTAGTTTCTGATCAAATCAGTAACCAATTCTTGATCATAGGAAATATGTAGTATAAAACGAACAAGAAAACGAACTAAAACATATTTTGTTTATTATATATTTCTTTTTGTTTAAATAATCAAGAAATACGGAAGAGCTTACTTTGTCATTTATTTTCATGAAAACTTGTTCATTATGGACTTAAACATTTCACTTGTTTATCAAAAATAATTAACTATTATCTCCTAATTTTTTAATGCTAATTCTTGCAAATAAATTTCATTATATATATTATTACATTATATATACTATAAATTGATCAGAAACTGGAGTCTGATCAGGATCTGATTGTGAGTCCTTGACGGTACGGAAATATTGTTAGAATTGAAGTTATTACAATTGAAAAGAATAGGAAACTAGTCATGTGTTTTTGATCATCACTACTCTCTTCAATAAAAAAGTATAATATTATATAAGTACTTCTTATCTTTCAGAATCAACCAATGGAAGGCGAGTCTGCAAGTGATTATAGTTTCAGACACATCACTGAAATCACGATTTTGACCGTACAGTTGATCGTCGAGTTTTCGAAGAGATTACCTGGCTTTAACGAACTGTTACGCGAGGATCAAATCACTCTGCTGAAGGCTTGCTCCAGTGAGGTGATGATGCTACGGATGGCAAGAAAATACGACGTGCAAAGCGATAGCATCATTTTTGCTAACAATCAGTCGTACACACGTGACAGTTATAGCGTTGCGGGAATGGGAGATACCATCGAGGACCTTTTGCGATTCTGTCGGCAAATGTACGCTATGAGGGTCAATAATGCCGAATATGCTTTGCTCACAGCTATTGTCATCTTTTCTGGTACGTAAAAAATACATGTTGGTGTTTTGCGTTAAACATAGTGGGGGGAAAAAATGCTGTTTTCGATTTAGACAGCGTTTCTATAAACTGCTTTATGTTGTAATAGTTGACAATGCACGGATTTTAACTTACATTACAAGATATATTAATTTCATACAATGTATATCAGTGATATACATTTTTTATGTATGAAATTAAAAGGTAATTTGTATAAATTTCTTCAAGTATTTTATTTTTTATATTAAAGACCATATGAATTTTTTGGCTATCTAATAAATACAATTTAATAAAAGGGGCTTAAAAAGAAGACACATGTTTAAAACATGTTAAAAAAATTTTTTTTAAGAATTTTAGATGATTTTGCAATCAGTCATGCAGTAACCACATTTTATTTATATTTTAAAGTTAAAAATTCTACATGTATTGATACTTATATAACGATCATATAAAATATATCAGTGATAGAAATGTTATATTTTAGTCTTCATTTTATCACAAATACTATGCTTCAGAGAAGAAAGATTTGTTTTTACATATAATATAGCATTTTACAACGTAGAAATTTGTTGGAAGTAAAAATTTGTAACATTTTCATAGTTCAAGTAAAAATTCGTTTCGCAAATTTGTTGCTTATTAGTGTTTTTACATTACAGTAGAAGATTCTTTATACACTTTTTCAATATACATCTATGAGTTATAATTTGCCATTGCAAAAAAATGTTACTACAAATTGTCAAAATTGTTTATAATATTAGATAATATTATAATAAAAACATTGCAGATATTAATAAATTCGTTAAATGCATAAAACTTCCTCATTTAAATTAGAATTAAGTTAAGCTCGATTAGAGGAAGTGTGTTGAGTTCATTGAGAAACTACAGAATATACACAGGGTATCTCGTTTTAAATGATCCACGCAAATATCTTTAAAAATATGAAAAATATGGAAAAACGTTTCAAACAAAAGTTGTTTGGTTCGAAGGGGGTTTGGTTCATCAAATTAGAAATGTTTTAACACAATTTTAAAGAGTTATAAAAAACTGTCCTTTTTAAATCTATTTTCTAATAACTTTTAATAAACAATTATGGCTAAAATTTTTTAAATATTAAATGACAGTATGTATCAAGTTAAGATTCCCTTCTCTATAATTTCTATAGTCATGTACCAAGATTACATTAAAATGCTACTTATCTATAACAGAACAGAAATAAATAATGAATAGCAAAAATAGATAAAAGTTGATTTGAATAAGAAACTGTATACAATAATTTTATTAATTATTAATTATTATCTATTTCTGTTTTTTGTCATATTTGAAGTTTTTATTAAAATGTATTAAAAATTATTTTGCAGAGAGACCCAATTTGTTAGAAACCAGAAAAGTGGAGAAGCTTCAAGAAATTTATCTGAAGACATTAAAAGCATATGTGGATAATCGTCGTCGACCAAAGGCCTGTACGATCTTCGCTAAACTTCTATCAGTTCTAACCGAGCTCAGAACCCTTGGCAATCAAAACAGTGAAATGTGCTTGAACCTGAAATTTAAGAACAAGAAGCTGCCGCTTTTTCTCGCCGAAATCTGGGACGTGATGCCCTAGTTTCCCAGTCGCCGATCAACGGCGATTGCGCCGGTCGGCTGAATAAATCATTTGACGTCGTGGTAGCAGTAACAGCAGCAACGGCGTCAAGGGACGCACGGACGTGAAAAACGGCCTGCGTAATTCTTATACTAGTGCACCATTATGCCACTGCCTCAACATCGCAAGTCAACATATTGTATCAGTGCTGTTTTTAGATTCATTTCGATCATTTGTTCTTTCTCTTGATCGACCATCTCTAAGTGTCACCCTAGATCGATCAATCTTTATATTGCTTGTAAAGTAAGCGTAAGACAGGCCGGTCCCATACTTTCGCTGTGTGACGCGTAGAAATTTATTTATAGATTTAAATTTATGTATATAATATGATGCAAAAGGAAAGTTGAAAACTTGTGAAAATAAAATACAGCTGACAACAACTTTTTATGAGAATGCATATGACTAAATACTGGTGATAAAAAAAGAGTCTGATCTAAAGATGTATATAGTACCATGTACATGTAATAAGATTTAAAATTTAAAAAGAATTAAAGTTTTATGTTACCAAACATCCATGGCATAAAATATATTATACATAATGTATCTGTACAGTATAGTTAGAAAGGTGTTTGACATTTTATAATAAATTTCGGAAATACAGTCTATTACAGGAATGATCATAGCTTTTGCTCACAGATATGTACAGTGACGCATTCGAGTAAAGGTATATATATGTACGAATATCTATTGTATATATATATATATATATATACAATGATACTTACGAATATTCCAACAACTTATTGTAAAACATCAGACCTTTCTGACGGCACAACCGTACGATCCATGGAACTATCGCTCTTTGTAGGTCTAATCTTCTACCAAATCTATAATTTGTAATATTCAATATTACAAATTATCAATATTACAAATCTATAATTTGTAATATTCAATAATAAAAAGTAAATCGAAACAACCGCTTGTAAAATATACCAGTACAATTTTTGTTCGCAAAATTGCAAATATGTCACAATTAGACCTGCGTGAACCGTATGGGATCGGTTTGGAAATGAGGAACAGGAAAGGCCTCGCACATTGAAGATACGCGCAGAGACAATGCAAGCTCCAAAGGAAGGAGCAAGGAAAGGAATAGAAATAAGAACGAATATATCATTGTGAGAGAAAGGCAGTGGCGCGGCCCAGGCTGTGATACATAGACAACCGAGATTGAAGATATATAAAGAAAGAGCTACCTGCAATTTACATTTTATCGCTATATCCTCTGTCTGGATACATCCTTACCCACAATTGATATGTAAATGTAATGTATTATACGATAAGGTATTGATATATTTGACGAATGTGCGTTGACACATTAGTTACTTTTGAGAAAATGAATAGCAGCACCTGCGATTACTATAAGGAAGAGAAAGATGAGATAGAAAATTATTAGTAGCATGAGATTCAAGGAATTGTGACAAAGGATGATTAACACAATCGGCGACGCTATTGGCCGAGAATTAATAAGTTCAAAGATTAAAATCTGTAGTTGTTAATAATACAGCATTTTCCCAAATCTTGGCTGTAAAGTAAGCGAAATAAAATGAGGCCCATTTACTTTTGAGCAGCGTCGCATGAATGGAGCGCGGAAAAGGAAATAAATATGATATGTATAACAATAGCATAGAGTCTATATCACTCATACACATACAGCATAATATATCTTGCTAGCATGTACATTCTTTATACCAGAGAGAGGGAGAGAGAGTGTAAGGAACAGGCGTGTGTGTGTACGTGTGCGCGCGCGTGTGAGAGAGCGCGAGAGAGAGAAAGGGAGGAGGGAGAAGGAGAGACTAAAGCGAAAATGCGAAATGGTGGAAGAAAAGTCTAGAAAGGATCTACACCGCAGCAGGATGGCGCGTCTTGAAACTGTGTATTAATACTTTTATTAATACAAATCACTTAAAGATGTACAGGGCGTCCCTAAAAAGGAGAAAAAGCTAAAGAAATGATATTATTTTCGCGAAAGACATACACACACACACACACACACACACTCACACACTCACTCACACACACATATATATATATATATATTTTTAAGAGATCTACTGTATATATAACATGTTATTTAAATGTCATGAAACAGGAAGTTTTTAAAATGTATTATTTTCTTACAAAATATAGAAATATGGTGTTCATAAGTGATACTACAGGAAACAAAATAGAATGTTCACATTGTATGCTAATTGTCTTTTTTTATATATACCTCGTTATAGTAGAAATTTTTACAAAAAAATGTGTGTTTTAATGAATAAAAAGGAAATGTACGGGACGCCCTGCAGGGTGTGCGAGGAAATATAATATTCATAATGAATATAACTGATGTCTTTTTTGGCGGCAATTGGTATAGAACTCTTCGATTAAACTGTTTTTAAACAGAAATATAAGGAAATACATATTTTTTTTATTAAGAAATGAAAATATACAATTTAAGTGCATAGAGTAAACCAACTTTGAATTTGTTTACTGAATCGAAAATTATACAGCCAATAATATAATAAATTCACTGTACATTGCATCTATTACAAATTTACAATTAGTGTTTATTCTATACATTATTACCTCAAGACAATTACATTATTATACAAAGACAATGATTAATTTCTAAAGGAAAATAAAATTTGGTAATAGACAAGTAAAAAGTTTTAAACTTTTAAAATTGTCTAAATATGTTATTTATTATTTGCGCTATGATTTTCGATCGAGCAAAACAGTAATTTAAAGTCGGCTTCCTCCATCCGTTAAACGATCGAAGATTAAATTTTATAAGATAGTTAAGGAATGAGATGCACATGATATGCTTAAGACGAATCGATCACCTTTCGTTCCAAATTGACGGAAATATCGAAAGCAATTAAACAAGTAAAAATGACGTGGCGATTGATCGATGATTTAGAAAAGCAGTAATGTGTAGAACAAAAGCGATGAAATTTGTTGAATTGAATTAATTCTCGAGTGATTGCAATTTTAATAATTGGTCATATCGATAACTTGGTTATATTCTTATTTATTTATCACTATTAAAATTTTTTTTATCAAATTTCTATAATGTTCTTGAAAATAAGTTGCTATAATTTCGAATATATTTCGATAACAATATATAAATATTTAAAAGATTTGTTTACCTTTATCCAAAGTATACGGAGTTGTTGAGAGATACGTGTTACATGCTTTCGCTCGAGGTTTAAACAAATTCCCAGATAAGAGCATGAGACTAGTTCGGTAATAGATCGTAGATAAATGAGCTAGGATAGGTGACCGAGTTCTAGTGCAAAGCCTTGTGCCTTCAGCAGCGGACATCGGCTCACCAACAAGCAGTAACAACAAAATAAAAAAGAGATATTTGAAAATTAACCGTCCGTCTTAATCTTTTAATGAAATGAAAAATGAACTTGCTGTAAAAAGGAACATAAGCAAAATCACACGAGTTTGCCATGTTATTATTAGAATAATAAAAATAAAAGGAAAAGGAAAAAGTATAACAGAGAGAAGCGAAAGAGGCGGGTAGAAAAATCAAGAAGGAATAGAGAGACTACAAAAAACTGAAATATTAAGGATGGATATAGTTGATAAATACATTTAAAAAATTAATTATGAAGAAAAAGATTGATGAGAGTTAAAATAAAAGTTTATGAGAAAGATCCTTATAGTTCTCAGAATCCAATAACAGAATATGTTAACACAAGAAAACATTTAGCCTCTAATCGTTAAAACTAAAAGACGATAACAATAAATTCTTGGATTCCTAAATCTTTGAATTCTTGGCTGCACATTTAATTCGTGGGTTGATTGAAAATTTAAAGGATTGGATTTCAAGATTATCAAATTCTTATTAAATTCTTTAAACGATGAAATCCTTTGATTTTGTTAGCTTTTTAATTTTTTTGTTCTAAATTTTGTAAATTTAAAATGAAAATATTTATTATATACGTTAACAATTTAATATTCTAGCTATTAATAATTTCATCAAACAAATGAGAACGCCATGTAGGTCCGAGCAAGATGTAGGTAGCCTAATAATTTTAATCTTAACATGTGAATTTATATACCATTTTTCAACCTGTCTTGTGCGCCGGTTTCTTTTCGGACCTAATACAGTTTAGTTTAGATGGAATATTGTCGTCAGCGAATTCACGTATTAAATCGATGAACGATTTCTAATTATTTTATTTTAAATGCTATAGTACCCCTCTCTTCGTACTGTAAAGAAATCTTATTGCGAAAAATTTAATCTCAACAGGCTCGAATCCTGGCTGAGATAATATTTTTCGCGATAAGATTTCTTTACAGTACGGAAAGGAGAGTATTGCATTGAGTGCTAAATATAGCATTTAAAATAAAACAATCAGAAATTTTTCATCAATTTTATTTAATACGTGAATGTGCTGATAACAATATTCCATCTAAACAAAACTGTGTTAGGTCTAAAAAGAAACACAAGCGCACAAGACAGGTGAAAAAATGGTATGTGAATTCAAATTAAGATTAAATTATTGGCCTACCTACATCTTGCTCGGACTCGGTTGTTTGATTTTATCATAGGGGTCCTATTTAATTCTATTGTAAATAATTTCATTTGATAAGAAACCTCTCTAGTTGAACCGGAAAGAATAAATATCATATATTCAGGTAATACATATACATATACTTACATACGTACATATAAATACATGTAATATATGTTTTACACACACGCACACGCAGTACGCACGCACACATACACAGAGGGTGTTTCGATAAAGGCTGGCAATCTCTCATGGATTTGTTAGAATAAGTAAAAATAATCCCACAAGTTTTTATAAATGCTTTTTTCTAACACTTCTTTACCGCGATATTTGTCTTTGAAGTTAAAATTTCTGAATCAATATTCTTAAATAACTTTTACATTTTAGCAGAAGCGGCTGTTGACATTATCAGTAGTAATGTCTTCTAGATGGGTACTGCGTTCGTTTACAGCAAAGTGCCAACGTTTTGCAAACATTGCAGTTTGCATTATCAGAGCTCCGATACTGAGCTCCATTGAGATGTGGTAGTCCTTATGTATACCGCGTCTTTCCACTTTTCCTCTTGGGGTGGGAGGGAGTAGAGAGACAGCCAATTGGGGTGTTAATTGATCAGTTAATCAATTAAAAAACCTGGGAGGATGGCGTGCCAAATGGATTTATCTGATATCCTTTATCACGACTTAGGTTTAGGTTGTTAGGGTGTTTCAAAATTTTCAAACCTTCACAACACTTCCTGGCCAAATAGCCTTGTGACGGAGCCTTGTAAGGATGGTCATTTTGTCATATTGAACGAAGTCCAGTCTCCATCTTATGTTCAACTAAGGCTGATTGAGAGAAGTGACTATATTTGGCACTTTGCTGGTGTTCTTTGATCCGTGTACTGATCTTCCTCCCGGTTTCTCCTACGTACACTTTTCGACACGAGCGTGAGATCTTCTGTACCCCTGAGTTTGCCAGGTGAAATCTCTAATCCTTGGGATTGGAGAGCGATTGAAAGATCTTATTTTGAGGTTTAAAGATCACTCGGATGTTATACTTGCTCAAAACTCTGCTGATGCGGTCCATCGTTCCTGAAAGATACGGGAGCATCGCCGTCTTTTTCTTTTCTTTCTATGTCTCTGGCATGCTAGTGTTATTAAAACCAGAAATATTGTTTTTCAACTTCTGAGTTATACGGTTGATATTTCTGATATATCCATTCTTTGTCGAGGTCTGATTGAGGTGACCTAATTCTGCCAGAGCAGCTAGTTCTGAAACTAAATATTCTGTAAATCGACGAACTGATAACAGAATTCTTTTAAGTAGGTTGATGGTGAAAGTTTATGTAAAGGTACCGGTCTGTATGTGTCGGTTTTCGATAGACTTGACGGCCCAAAGTGCCGTCGTTTCTGTAAAATAATTATTACGTTTTATTAAGATCTGAACAGTAACATGAAAGTTCAAAATTTTATAATATAATATAAAAGTTAACTACTCTCAGGGAAACTCTACCTCATTTCCTCACTTTTACCAACTCCCAGCACCAGAACATCTAGTTCATAATATAGATATTGAACAAAACCAACATACCCAGAAATTTAGTAATTTTGTCCCATGTTGTGATTGTGACTGGATGTTTAGGTATTGGGAACGAATAAAAGTGAGGAAATAAGATAGAGTTTCCTTGAGAGTAGTTAACTTTTATATTATATTATAGAGTTTTCAACCTTTATATAATTACTGTTTAAATCTTAATAAGATGTACTAATAATTATTTTTATACTTTATAAAGATCTTTAAGACAATGTAAGTTTCTTCATACCATGTTGAAAAGAAAGGATCACCTTTAACTCTTGTAATCTATAAAACTATATAATTATTAAAGTTAAATGATAGTTATTAAAAATTACATAACTAAATAATTATTATTATAACGTTTATAATAATTAATTTGATATTGTTTAAATAAATTTTAAAAAATTAAAGTGAATAAAAATTTATTTTGTATTGTTTGAATGAGTTTTTCTCGAAAACTGTTAGCTTTTACGAAATAAAACAACAGTACCTTATTTTCTCTACAAATATGTATATGAAGTATTTAAAAAATATGGCATAAAAAACACATACAGACTTAAAAGTTTTATAGATAACAAGAGTTAAAAGTGGTCCTTTCTTTTCGATATGGTATGAAGAAACTTGTTGCATTGTTTTGAATATTTTACGAAATATAAAAATAATTACTACAACTTATTAAGATTTGAACAATAATATAAAAATTATGTAAGAATATTGATTCAGAAATGTTAACTTTAAAGATAAGTATCTTGGTAAAACATGTTATAAAAAATTTATAGGATCTTGAGGTTACATATTTTTCCCTACTCTGCAAGTCCACGACGGATTGCCAGCCTTTACCAGAACCCTGTGTGCGTGCGTGCGTGTATGTGTGTGTAATATAGTACATCACAATTTATATAATGTTGAAATATACGTAGAATTAACTCAAGTTTTACCAATGTAGAAGCATTGCTAAACGACGCGACTGGCAAATTCTAATTAAAGAAATTTATTGCAAAAAATATTACCTCAGCCAGGGTTTGAACCTGGACTACCCTACACTCTAGGCGTCGTTAAGTTTTACTTCAATTTATTTTTAATTTCCTTCTTAACCATCTCTGTTAATATTTAACATAACATTGAAATACCATCATACCTCGTATACCCCTTTTAAATTGAAGGAAAGTGATTTAAATTAAAAATCTCAAAAATTTTATAAATCAAATGCATACGCTCTATCATATTATGATTTTTTTTTCTTCCAATACTAACCAGAAA